AGCAATTTCAGATATAGCGATAGCAGTAGTATGAATAGAGTTTTCAATATTAATATTAAAATTAATATTATTTTCTGGTAATGAAGTACTAATTAAGGGATATTGCTGGTGTCGACAAACTTGATCAAAAAATTGAGCATCTACAATTCCTTTTTGTTGCACAAGATGCTTACAAATAAAAAAGCGACTTGTTGCAAAATAAGGGCATCCACATACCCAATTTGAAAGACTTGTTAAATATGTATTATCATTATGAATTGTAGATGATTTTAATTTTTTCCATTCTTGTTTAAATGATTTGCGCCATAATTCCTTTTCAATTCCAGATGAAATTTGATAAAATTTTTTTTGTTGTTGTGCAACTACTTGTGTCATAATAATATAAATTACCAAATCTAAACGAGGTCGGAAAAATTTATATAAAAAGTCACGCTTGATTACTTTCCAGTGACTTTTAACAAACATATTTGTTTTAAGAATTGAAATTTTTGTATCATGTCCTGCACGTAGCTATAAAACTCATCGTTCTGGACCGTACCATTCATTCCATAAATAGACCCAAAGAAAGGGTAATTTATGCTGATTACAGAAATTATAAATTTCTTGTACTGCTGTAAACCAGATTGTTTGCGCAGTTAAATATTTACCATCAGATGTAGGTATTAATGGATGCTAGTGTAAGTGTCGATTCATTATTTCCTATAAAGAGTCTCGGAATTCCTTAGAGCAAAATTTATAATTTACAATATTATTGAGTTGTAGACGATAATTAGGATCAATAAATTGAAAGTATTGGTGTGCATTTTGACCATTATAATTTATTTGTTTTGGAATTACATTATTCGAAAGTCTGATTTCAATAGACCGTTTGATATGCCATAAGCATAATTGTACTTTAATACTTTTCTAGACAAATCGTGCAGCTGATATTTAGGCAAAATCCTTATCTGTTAAAAAAAATTCAGGATTAAGTCCAAGTATTTGTAATTCACAAAAAAAATCAATTAGTATGCCCGTACGAATTCCATTACTACAGTTTCCATTATTCTCAAGAAATAAATAAGCTAAAGGATATCCGCTTCCATTTATTTGAGCATGAACTACATATAATTCAAAATTTAAATTATTTGTTTTATCTATAATTATAAAATAAAATTAATAAATAAATTTATATAGTGATAGTAATAAATAAATTAATTATTAATAAAATATAGTAATAGTTACATGTTGCGTCAACTCCAATTTCATTAATTTGAAATTTTAAACTTTTAAAAATATCCCACATTCCAGTTAAAAATCCAATAGCTTGCGGTGCTTCTTTTTGAAATATAATTTGATGAGAATTTTCTCTTAACCATTTTTGTGCTGACAAAAGAGAATCATTATCACGTTGAAATCTTTTTTTTCCAAGTTCCATCCACCAAAAATGGATTTGTTTTTGATATATATTGATGCTTAAATTTTGCGCAACTAATCGTTTATAAATTTCACGTGGAAGCAAATCAATATTTTCCAAAATAAATTGCTTAATTTCCGATGAAATTGAATTATCTAATCGAACAGAATGTAAACAATGATGCATCTCTATATTAGATAATGGATGATCTTGGAAAATAATGATTTTAATATATCCTTTACAGGAAAAACGTTCCATTTGTTGTCTATCACGATGCTTTGTAAAATCATTATTTTTTTTTGACTTTTCTATTAAACAATCACGCTGAGAACAATAATAATTATAGGTTATTGAATTTGATTTTTTTGAAATATACTTATTATGATATCTAAATTACAATATATGTAGTATTAGTATAATTAATTATTATAATTATAAGTATAAATTATCAACTTACATCCATATATAATCATCGATATTAGATATTATTTCAATAATTTTATCTGCTTGTTCTTCAGAATTTCCATCTAATGTCGAAATACTTATAGTACAAGAAAATTCTAACTTTAGTGAAGTATTATTTTCTTGATTTTCTTTATTATGTTCATACAAATCAAATATTTGTATCAAATATTCATCCAAATCTGATAATTCAATTATTGTTTCCTTTTCAGAATTTTTATTCTGATTTTGAGCTTTTGTTTGCTGTTTGATTACTTTATTCTGAACATGACATGTATTACAAGTGCAAAAAGTTTTTTTATTAGTAATAAATAAACTTAAAGGAAGGTTTTTTTCACATCCGGAGCAATCTTGCCATGTATTAATATTATTTAAAGAGGGACTTAAATTCATTTTGTTTTAAAGACAATAAATTTTATTAAAGCGATAATAAGAAAAAAAATTTTTTGTCGTTATTACTCTTAAAAAACAATTAATACTGTATGTATTATTAATAATGATTACTACGCGTTAATCATGTAGTGATAAGTTTTTGATAGTAATACTGAGATGAATTATTATTGGTCGATCATCACGTGGGGGTGAAAATTTTGATGGCGATACTGGGGCAGTGATAACAACTTACCTTGAACATGTGACTTGGACATGTTGATATCATATTGTAGATTTATATATTGGATGATAACTATACCTAACCCACTTGTAGTAATAGAACTAGAATATTATGAACATTATATTGAACAATATTTTATTGAAACAGTTTGCTACTTCTGAGTAAAAGTTAGCTGATGGTAAGAATGTCACTACCCTTTGCAAAAGAGATATTGCATAAAAAGACTTACAGTTTGTCAATTCTGAGCAAGATATGACTGATAGTTTTTATGTTGTTACCCTCTAAAAACATAGAAGAATTTAATTTAATTTATCAAGCTGAGAAGATTCTATCAAGTATCCTTGAGCATCAATGCTTGGAAAGTTCAACTATGTACACATTGATAAAAAACTTTAGATTAAATTTTTATTTGAATGAACATTTTAAATACAACACATGATGAATATTCCTAGATGCAACATTTCTGGATGACAATAAGAAGATTAATGGATGAAATATTATTGATAACAATACAATTCCCAGATGAAACATTCCTGGATAATAGTGAAAATACTTGAATGAAAAAGAAATTCCCAGATGAAATATTTCTGGATGATTATAATAATTTTTGGACATCAAATTTTTGGACAATTAAGATAGCTCGCAGCTTACTACAACCTCACAGAAAGAGAAATTTCCTGCTGAACGGTTACCCCATGAGCCAAATATGTAGACGTAAAAACACTGTGAAATTTTGGAAATTACTACAATATCTACAACTTAATTTTTGTATCAACACTTACCTTGACTTCCCTACTATAACCTCTCTTATGATTGCAAACTTCTTCTCTCTTCTCATATATTTAATGATGAAACAAATTGAACCAGAGCTAATTTTTAGATTTTTATTTTCTTTTTATTATTCTTTTTATACTCTTACACTTTATTTATTCTTGTTAAAATTTTATTTATTATTTATTTAAGAGTTTTATAAAATAGCACCATGGCGCTGTAACGCCACCTCTTGATAGACCAATCAGATTTCAGGATCAGATGTAACGTAAAAAAACAACAATCACAATTTTTTTCAAAGAATCGCTTGTTACTCGAAATTTTGCTTATGAAACAGCCTTTAACGTTCTAACAAAAAATTTTCCTTGCAAAATTTTGGTATATATATTAATCCTGCTCTAACCCTAATCTGGTCTAAACCCTAACCCTAATTAACTTCAATCTTACGCTTTATTTGTTGTTTTGATTTTCTCATTATATGGCGTTATAACGCCCTGGCGTTAAATGAAAATTTTTTTTTAGTAATATTAATCTGAAATTATTAAATATGAAATTATTAAATATTAAAATTTAATTAAAAATTTTATTTGAATTTTATTAATTTGTTTTACCTTTATATTTTTTATTGGCAAATCTAATTCA